TCTTATATTTATTTTATATTAATATCTTATTTTGTATTAAATTAAAGTCATCGCGCATACGCGACTCTACTATCTCCCGCGCATGCGCGAAGACACAAAAATTGTACGCTACAAATTTTTGTTTGGAATAGCTTCTCTAGTACGTAGTACATATAATTCAATAACTAACACTTATTTTATAAAAAAAAAGTATTATTAAGTGACAGCCTTTATGTTTTCACAATGTTTTTCTTCATTTAAACCAACGGGTATCGCATCGATTTTGAGTTATGTGTATTGATTAAGTTTAGAAACTAATTATATTATAAAAACTATTGGACATTTCCCTATGCTGCCACACACCTATGCCGGTAATTGTTGGGAGCACTAAGCTCAAAGTTGTTGACGATTATGTTTACCTAGGACAAATAGTCCGACTACGTAAGTCTATCTTCGACAAAGAGGTCAATCGACGGATTCAACTCGGCTGGGCAGTATTCGGGAAATTACGACACATCTTCTCGTCAGGTATACCTCAAAATTTGAAAACTAGACTGTACAACCAGTGCGTGTTGCCAGTGATTACCTGTGGAACTGAGATGTGGTTCTTCACTGCTGGCCATATGAGGAAGCTCAAGGTCGCTCAGCAAGCTATGGAGAGGGCTATGCTCGGGGTTTCTCTACGTGATAAACTCAGACATAAGGAGAGTAGTGGAGTGGCAGTAGAACCAGAGTAACCGACATAGCCCAACGGATTAAAAAGCTGAAGTGGCAATGGACCGGCCATATATCTCGAAGAACCGACAACCGACAGGGAAAAAAGGTTCTCGAGTGGCAGCCTCTACCGGTAGGCGAAGTTTAGGGTGACCCCCACTAGATGGAGTGACGACCTGGTAAGACATGCAGCAAATCGATGCAGGTGGCTCAGGACCGTGCTTTGTGGCATTCTTTGTGGGAGGCCTATGTTTAGCAGTGAACTTGTGAAGGGTTGATGATGATGTGCGGTACGTAGTGCCGTTTGTGAGAAATTCTAATAAAATGTTACGGCCACCGATAGATGGCAGTATAAAATATATATAACGTACTATTAGTGGTGATTACGTTAAATCTTCATTTCTATGAGAGATACCTATTTTTTTAATAGGATAACGGTGACAAACTAGCACCACCTAGTGGTAAGTGAATACTGTGGCCCATAGAATATATTATGTCTAAACTGTTTACGGGTTGATGAAATAGCATTGTAACATCCTGCATGCAACCCACTGTTGGGCTTTTCATTTACATTTTGTCATACCTGTAATCCCCAAGGTAGTAGAAATCAGCCATTTATACATAGCCTCAGTGAGTTTACCCAAAAAATTGTTGGGGCAAAAATAGGTGGCTACCCCATCACCTTAACAATCACAAACCCAATATCCCATTAGCTGCCTTTTACGATATGCTAGGAAAGTAACACATTCGAAATATTATTTTTATTGAAAATTCCTCATAAACACGAAACCTAAGTCCCAGATCAACATGGGTCTATCATTTGTGAAAACTGTTAAACAACAGTTAGTCAGCTGAGCTGCCCCAAAGCGTATTGTTTGTCTTCATATTTTTCAATAGACACGTTTCGCAATGATGTTTTGATGGGGATCGAACTGAGGTTGCTCGCGTACTATGTAAAGAAGGAATTAAAGAAAATAGAAAAATAAGACATTCAAGAGTAAGAATTATAACAAAAGCAACGAATGTCTTGAGGTATGAACTAAAACTAAAGTGGAAACGAACAGGTATTGTAGCGAGGCTTACATACCAGTGATGAACCCGTTAGAGTGGCCCACAAGGAAAAGAAGGCAGAGGGAGACCTCTGACACGATGGCAAAACGACATACAAATAACAGCTGGCCCAAGCTGGGGCCAAATAGTACAAGACAGAGAGAAATGGTCATTTTTCTAGGAGGCCTTCACCCAATCTAGGGATCTTACATAAAACTTACAATAACAATTGTAAGTTCACTAACCAAATAACACATCTACTAGAAATAAGATAACCGTGTAATAATGCGAGAAATAAAAGGCTTTTTTTATTTTATTTACTTTAATTACTTATCCCTAATACGGCTAAAGTTAAATACGAATTAAATAAGAGCTTTAAATTTAATTGTCTTTGAAAAATTAATACCTTCGCATACATAACGTTAAATCGGTCTTATAATCTAAACACTGATATTCATCACTATTATCATTAATCACAGATACAAGCGATACTGTGATCGAATTACCGTAGCGATGGTAATGAATGATGTAGTAGCTCTAATTTCAACTGTTATGCATTAACAGGGAAACATCCATTAGCAACTGCAACGTGATCTCGCAGTAAATATGTAAACACTGCGCGTTTAGGTTATTTCCTAATTAGCTGTTTAACTAGGAAATTATAAAGGACATAGCCATTAGTTTGTTTTAGTGCCTAGTTACAATAAAATTTTAGTGAACGTTATACCGCCGTAATATTACTCTTTACAATGGGAGACACCCGTGTGCCCACTCCATTGTGTACATTTACATACGTGCTGTAAAAGAAAAAGGAAAGAACGTAATAATAGATATTTATTATAGTGATTAGAGTATCTTATTACATTATTAATTTTTTCTAATTCGCGATTCGAATCCCTGCAAATAGGTGATATCTAAATGTATCGTAGTTATCTCATTAATTGGCATTTACTTGCGACACAATATCTATACAAATCTTGCTATAATATTATAAATGTAAAAGTCTGTTTATTTAGTGCTTATCGTTGAATCACGGTTGAGTGGTTGGACAGATTGCAAGGAAAGTCATAAAATTCGATTATTATAGGAAATAGGACACCTAATATATGTGACAATTTATTTATAATTTAATTACGCTTTTTAGCAATTATTATACAGTCATGCTGCAGCTAAAGTAATGTTTTAACACGAATGGGTCGACTCTACCGAAGAAATACCACGCTCTCACAGAATACCAGCGTAAAATAGCAGCTTAATGCGCTGTGTTTCACATAGTAAGTGTAGAGACCCTTTTTACTGGAAACAAGGCATTCCATCTTAGTTCTCAGAGGTGACAAACGCATCTGCATTTTGATTATTAATTGAGAATAGAACTATGAGCCACAGTATTCACTTACCATCAGGTGGAATGTGTGCTGGTTTGTCACCATTATTCTATTAAAGAAAGTACTAAAGAATTACGCTAAGCGAAGAGGACGGGACTATGAACAGCTTTTTAGATAAAATTTTTGAAGACACCCAAACTGTTTGTTAGCTTGACTTGAATGAAATTTTTAACACAATTAAAGCGTGTCATGCATTAATACTGAATATAAATTTAAACTGAGTAAGGGGCGCAAATATGAGTCTCTGAGAGATGACTACATATTTGTGCCATTTGCTGTGGAGACTATCGGTCCGTGGAGTTCCACGTGCAGTGAAATTCCTAAAGGAAATCTATCTCTATAAGAGGGCTGGTTCCTTTCTCGCTCAAAGGCTAAGTATAGCCATTCAGCGAGGAAAAGCAGACAGCGTTCTTGGCACGATACCACTGGGAGTAGGACTGTATGATAAATAAGTTATTAGTTTTAGTTTTTTTTTTAAATATTGTATGCATATTAAAATACATTATATGGGAAAATTAGTTATAGTTGGGCAAAGCCCACAAGCAAACACAACAAAAATCCGGCAGAAGCTAGTAACATATCTTTATAAATATAATTTTTCGCTCCGTGTGTATGTGACTGAACTCCTCCTTTTATACGTGGTAGAGTCATGCTGCAGCTATATTATTAATATGGTTGTAGCACGAATGGGTCGGCTCGACCGGCGAAGAACTACGCTCTCACAGAATACCAGGGTCAAATAGCATCACAATGCTGCTGTATTTCGTATGATGAGTGTATAGAGAGCCGGAAACCCACCCTATTTACTGAAAACGAGGCATTCCATCTTAGTCCTCATGGGTGACAACGCATCTACATTTTGATTCGTAGTTGAGGATAGATGTAGATGTCTATGGGCCACAGCAACCACTTACCATCAGGTAGACTGTGTGCTGGTTTGTTACACTTGTCTTATTAAAAATTATTTTTAACAGTGGTAGAGCCACGCGGCAGCTTTTGCTGTCGCACGGATGGGCCGGCTCGACCCGGGGTAGTACCACGACCTCACAGAAAACCAGCGTGAAGTATAGGTTTACCTCTGCGTTTCGCTTGGTGAGTGCAGGTGGCCGGAGGCCCTTTTTACTGGAAATGAGGCATTCCATCTTAGTCCTCACGGGTGACAACGCATCTACATTTTGATTTGTAACAGAGGATAGATGTAGATGTCTATGGGCCGCAGCAACCACTTACCATCAGGTGGACTGTGTGCTCGTTTGTCACCCTTATCCTAAAAAACGATGTTGGACCGATTTTGATGAAATTTTGTGTGTAATAGTTTGCGAGAATGTTTTAGATTCACAATTGGACCTGGTAGGTGGCGCTGATGTCGAGTTCCAGAAATCACTCTTGAGAAGTCTGGGCGGGTCGTTAGTAATATATTAGGGTTTGTAGCCCCATTAGCATCATCGAAACACTTAGACGCTGCGCTAACAAGCTGTCATATTCTATGCAATCAACAATTTCCTCGAAAACTTTTAAAATCCGTCGACGCAAAGTTTATACATAAATATTATATGATAGTTCTTTAATTATTTTCTCGCTTCTATAATGAAAAAGGAACTCAATACTACGTAAAATACCAGTATTACCACTATACTACAGCGCTAAATGTGTTGTGTAATATGTTGAACTTCCTTTTATTGTAAATAATAAAATACTGTTCATGTAATAATATTTTATTCATAAATATAAATTAATTTAACATTCACTATATTGTCATATCAATATTTTAAAGCTAACTCGTAAATTAAAATCACAGGGTATAGGTTATATAATGTTCAAATATTCAACATTTTGCTACAAGTCTAGGTACGCAAATAATATTTTTTATAACTATACGACAATATCTGAACCGAGCCTTTCGAACTCGTTTGCAAAATAGATCATATCCTTTTGATCTAGAGCCGAGTTTTGAAAAACAATGCGGAAAAAGTTGACGAGGTTACCTTGCGGCTGGTACGTGACCATCATGCTCCCTTCCTTTATCATTTTTTCCTTAATTTTCGGGGCGACCTTATGGAGCCTTTCTCTATAATTAGGGTCGTTCTCGCATCCGCGTAGACAATTAGGCACGTACCAGAACATAATATTGGTACATTCAGGTTTTTCGAGCACGAGTTCGAAGCCGCTCCTTTGTCTAATGTGTTCCAAAAAGTATTTTGCATTCTCAAAGAGTTTATCGATGTGCTGCTCAAAACCAACACTGCCTTTTGCCTTCCACATGAACCAAAATTTAAGGACATCAGCGCGTCTCCCACATTGTATATGCTTATCACCGGTGTCGTATGAAGTATCGTAGAATTTATCCTTCTGGAATAGGTACTTAGCGTTGCATGAATGCCCATCCTTGAGGACGTTTTTGTGTTTGACCAGGAACGTAGAGCACTGTTGCGGCGCTGCCAGTAGTTTATGTGGATTCCATGTGACTGAATCAGCTCTGAAATCGAATGCGTTTTTTTATTTTGTGACAATGACATTAATAAACGTGGTCTAAAACTAAATGCGGTGGAGGTTCTTTTTGAAATAATTGAAATTACATCACAGTAATATGGCTTAATAAATTTTTAGATGCTTTTTATAATGAAATTTTCTTTCAGACTTATTTCTAAACAAAGGTTATTATTATGTAATTAAATAATTGAGACAGAGTATTGCAATTTTCAACTACCCCATATCATCCCGAGGGTATCATTAGAGGGGTCATAAAAAACTATAACCGGAGATGTACAGCAGCTTCTTCTTGATTACAACTTTATAATAATTTAAAAAAATTAACTAATCCAACCTGCCTACCAAACGTGACAACTATACAAAATATCCACCTATGACGCAATTTTTAGCGCATGCCTTTTGGTCAGCAGTGGATAGGCTGTAATGATGATGATGGTCTCCAGTTTTCTTCACATACAATACGAAACATTAAGCTGTTGTTTTACGCTGGTATTCCATGAAAGCGTGATCCTTTCTTGTCGAAACGACCCAATCGTACTACAATTATAATACAGCTGCATCGCGGCTGTTAAAATCTTAGTATAGTTTATATATAGCTCTAAGCACCCATGCTGACTTTGCCGATCTCTTAACAATCTTTGATTCTAAATATATTGATGCCATCCTTGTTTCTAAAAATTTGCTAAAGGCTGCTTTTCTTTTTGTAGAGTATTGTCTCTCTGGATTCCAACTCATTGGCACTAAGAGGTTTGGCAAAGGTTATGGTGGATTTGCAATTTATTGGAGGGATGACATTTTTACAACACACAACACGATGACACAAATTTTTCTGAGCATTTATTTATTTTTATTTATTTATTTATTTAACACACGGTATATTGGGAAACTTAACGCCTGGGGCATTCTCTAGCAGTCTACCTTCTATTATTTATTCTAAGAGTTTGATTATTATCTATTATCCCTCTTCTAGAGATTATTTTTCTTCCTTAGGAAAAATACACATAAAATCGACTTGAAAATGACTCTTAAACAAGTGCATCTATCTTCTCGTAGCAACAAATTGCTCTCCATTGTTATCTGTTCTGTTAATTTAAATATTCTTCATCTCTGTCTATTTTAGATCATATTCTCATTTCTGATTCTGATTGCATTGCATCGCATGGTCAACTATCTGCGTTATTTCCTAACCACGATCTTATCTTCTCCTATAAAATTCAACGTCCAAAGCGCAAATCTAAATTCTTATCCCTAATGACGAAAAACAACAAAGATCTTTACAGTTAAGAATGGCTCTACCTTCAACACGGCTAACCTCGGACTAGCTTACTGATTGCCTGTTATTAAAAGAAGATTACGCAAACCGAGAACGCACTGTTTCTCGGACCAGGGTTTTATTAGTAACAACTCAAGATGAGTTTTGCAATATATAATACATATTAGGTACATGCAAGTATATATTAATTATTATTAGTGCCACAAATATCTACACAGTTTATTTTATCATAATTATTTATAAAGGAAAATTAAACCATAATCTTCAGAAGTTTTCGTAAATCTTGTTTGGAAATATTCTTATTTATAAATTTATTCGTCTTTGTTCAACATCATGACCATGTGTCTATGTAACTGACTTTTTTTCTTGCACGACAACATTGCCGAAGCATTTTTGTTGTTTTCAGAACAATCCCAACACTACCACATTGTGACTACCCACGAGTCTGACACTATGTCCGAGCCTAGCTGTACTGACATTTTTATATTTGCATTTTACTTTACTACAACAAGGCAAAATATATCATAAACAATAATATTGTAATAATAATATACGAAGTTTATAACTAACTTCTCCAATCTCTTTAACTTTTATCAAATATTTGACCTACAAATACCTCGTCTTTCCCTGGTGTCGGAAATGTTTAGTTTGAAATAGATACGCGTTGCACCTGTACTACTTATGCAGACCGATTAGATTTGAATGACTGGGGAAAAAATCATTTCACTGTTACTTAAAAGGAACATGCTTTAATATAGTACGTGTATTCAAACGCAACATATTGGTTCTGTGTTTCGTAGTGTACTTGACTCTTTTTACCAGTAACATGGCAATCCCACTTAATCCTCAAGGATGACAATTCATCTGCATTTTTAATTTAAATCAGAAACAGTGAATGTTGGACCGTGAACTCGTTTATTACTCTTATTTTATAAAAATTGTTTTTCTTTGGTTCACAACATTCACTAACCTTCAAGTGGACTGTATACATATTTTTCATTCTTACTTTTGATTAATACTTATCTGCTCACAACTTTAAAATTACTTGAAGAAACTTTCTTTCTTAGATAGTACTTTACGTTTTAAAGAGTAATCTTACATGATTCCAAGCTATGGCACATATTATACAATAGTATGTAAATTATATGAAATAAAAACTAATTATAATCACTGTTTTGATTTAGAGTAGGAAGAATATGAAAGCAAGGACGAACTCAAATAATTCGCAGAAGTGGAACAAGACTTATCTGAATAATTTAATATACTCAATACTTACAGATCTATGCCGTTTAAAAGGTGTCTATGCTTCTTCGACATCAAAGCACCGCCACCCCAAGCCGCATCGACGTGAAGCCATAGGTTGTATTTCTTACACAGCATCGATATTGGTACTAAAGGATCAAAAGCCCCAAAAACAGTCGTGCCCGACGTTGCCGTCACCATAAAAGGAGTAGCTCCTGTATCTTTTGCTTCAACGATTTTTGCCTCCAAGTCTTCAACATCCATTTTTCCAAATTTATCTGCTTTTACAAGGATACAGTTGTCGCTACCGATTCCCATAAACGCAGTCATCTTTTTAGTTGAGTAATGCGCAAGTTCAGATGTGAATAGGACCAGCTTCGGCACGGCATACACACCTTTGCTCTGCAAGTTAAGAATGAATACAATAGATATATAACATTAATAATTATTTTACTAGTGGAGTATAAGTTTGAATTTAACATTATTTTTTCTAAGAGCCATATTTCCAACCTCGTACATGTAGTGTACTCTGCTGATTCACGGACAAGGCTATGATGACGAATATATCCACAGAGTAGTGATGGGCAGAAGCATTATAACAATCCAAGAGTGTCAAGTATAGACTCGTTAACCCTGTCTACCAAGGATACTGAGTATCGTGGTAGAGCCAAGGTGCATCTATATATTGGCTGCAGCACGAATGGGTCGGCTCGACCGGAGAAGGGCAATGTACAGAATACCAGCGTAAAATAGCAATATAAGGCCACTGTGTTTTGTACGTTATTTATGAGAACCGGAGACCCTTTTTCATATCATAGTCCAGAGGAGTGACGGCGCTTCTACATTTTTATTCATAATTGGAAATATTTATAGGTGTCTATGGGTCACAAAATTCAACAGTTGACTATGAGCTCAATTGTGAGCCTTGTTCAGAAACGTTTAGGAATGTGTCATTTAATTCTTATTAAACATGATAAACAAAAGTAAGAATCGTATAAATATACTTCTATAATATTATACGGATTTGGTATATGAATATTGTATTTTTATGTAAAAGTACAAAACACTATTAAAACCACGAACAAAGATAATCGAAAATAGAATTTTGTATGAAAATTAATACGAATAATGAAAACATTATTTCCATTTGTAATGTTTTTAAATAAATGCACGTGTTACTTCAAATAACAGGCATGATAATTTCCGATGTTTGCAAAGCAAACGGGAATTAAATGAATACGTATACAATTTTGCTTAAATTTACTTAAAAATTATGCGAAAAGTTGCCTAAAAATAATAATTACATATTATACTACAATCGCCTATCAATTGTATATTTTATTAAGTATTTTCATGAGTGAAATATTTGAGTTAATCCAATTTTTCTTTTCGCATGCATGTCGTACAAAATGCGTCATATTTTGTATATTTATAGCTTGTAATATACAACATGCGTAATATTCAACAGAAAGGTGGGGTAGGAGTGAAAGTATCTAATCTGACTCTAGTAATTAATCTGACTCGCCGTTTTCCGTATTGCTCAGTTTAGCAGAAATACTATGCATTTTTAATAGACATAGTGCTAATAGAATAAAGATAAATACAACAAAGATAAATATAATTAATCTAGTCTAAATCTTATCTACATAGCATAAAACAAAGCCGCTTCCCGCCGACCGTACGTTTAGATCTTTTAAATTACGCAACGGATTTTAATGCGATTCTCGTTCTTAGACAGAATTACTCAAGGAAAAGGTATATAAATAAATAAAAAATCAATTTATTTCAGACAGAGTCCATACAAGTAACATTTACATTATAATAAATTTAATCTCATCTAATTTAATTTTATATAATTCTATCTAATCTTTTTAATTTAATGTAATCTTAATGATTTCTTATATTTACGCGAACAATACACATTGAATAATACTACTTTTACGGATTTTATCGCGTTTAATTAAATTATATTCCCGACCACCGACAATCGTGGTCACGGGGGAGTCCCCTGTGACCACGGTTGCTGGAAAGCAACCGTAACGTCAGGAATATAAAATAACTTAATTAAACGCGATAAAATCCGTAAAGGTAGTTTTATTTAATTTAATCTTATGCAATTTAAATCAATTCAATATAACTTAATTCGATTGTTTAACATATTAATTACTTGAATAAAATTAATCTATAGTTTAATTCATGTATATATGTTACATGCATATTATATAATTCTTTTGTCCGTGTGTATGTGACTGAACTCCTCGATTTTGATGAAATTTTGTGTGTGTCTGTGTGTGTGTGTGTGTGATTAAGTTGATTAAAGAATGATTTAAATTTACAATTGAACTCCGACGTGGCATTTTTCTCGAAATCCAAAAATTAACCGTGCGAAGTCGACGCGGATCGCTAGTATATTATATAAAAACAAGCCGCCCCGACTTCGTCTAGATAGAGTATATTAATCTGGCGTTATTTAGAATGAAGACAGTCAAAGACCATTTATTTTAACAATTATTCTTTTTTTTTTTCAAAAAAAGATCTTCAAGTTTTTTTTGAGATAAAATATAGCTTAAATCCCATCTGGCATTGTTTATATACGTTCGTAAAGTTTCATCACAATCGGTTCAGCCATTGCGAAGATTAGTCCAGATACAGATAGACAGACAAAAATCATAAAAATGGTTATATAATTACTAATATTATGCAAATTACGTGCAATAGAACAGTAGACAGTTATTTCAATATTACATCCAGACACATCAATTTTTTATATATGATGTATACAACAAAAATATTTCAAAAACATTTTATAGATCCTTCTAGGTATCCTTTTGATAAAAAGTTGCACTTGAACCGAAGGCCTACGATCCGTTTTTAGAGATAATTTTCAATTAAATTTTATTACGCTAATAAATGCTAAATTCATTTATCATACCGTAAAACCGTAAACAGTGGATTGCGCTTGTATTTCGGTAGGTGTCCAAGGACCTTGTTAAATGAGCGCTGCGCTTGCGGCCAGTAGACGCAGCCTAGTCATGCATGTCTTTTTCTTTGTCTTTTGTTTTTTTTTGTCTTTGTCTAATTAAACAAATTTTTCATTTCATATTCTACACCACTTTCAAACCCCGTTTTGGCACTTTGTAGCACTGCACAACCTTCAAACTTAAGTTAAACAAGCGTGTGCGATTGTGTATATGGACGGGTTGGTTGGCCCAATACAATATTAAATGGGTATTAGTTCTAACACAAGTGTACATATCTCAAATACTTTTCTAATAGTTGATGATAGGTATGTAACCCCAGTACCCGTGCTCAATGTATCATTAATGTCTATCTATCAGTATCTATCCTATTAAAACCTTTTTGCTCTATACCCGATGTGTGTGTGTGTGTGTGTGTGTGTGTGTGTGTGTGTGTGTGTGGAACCATATTTACCTATATATCGATAAACAGATTATTTTATTTTAAAAAGAACTGAGAATAGGGGAGGAAAACTAGCCCCTGAAATATTGGTATAATATCCTAGTTTAGGGGCTGTTAACCGTTGTAAATATTTGTGAATGTTATACGTTTATCATTATTATAAAAAAATCACGAAGTTTATTCTTAGTATGGCTATTTGGTGGCTTGTTATATATATTTATAAACTAACTTATGGAAATTAATAGTCATAGGCCGTAATAAACATCTATTGTATTACATTTGCTGAATATTAGAAAAAAAGACCCTATTTGTGTATTTTTAACATCTACTCTCTGTATATCACACACAACTACGGTAATCGGTTTAATTATTTGTTACACAATATTTTATTTTCTCTGTAAGTGACTTTTTTGTAATCTATTGTGTCTTGTTTGTAACCGTATTGATAGCGGTTAAGGAAATGTAAAGGACATTGACATTATTGTGCTGTTGTTTGACATTATTGTGCTGTTGTTTAAAAAAAAAACAAGTGACAATCTACAAATTACGGCTCTGTGTCACGTCAGGGCTGCGGGGTTCGAATACGGCATGGAGTAAAAATATTGTTCCGGTTCTAATTATATCACCTCCACGATACAAGAGAAAATCCTTTTTTTTACTATTATAAGCCAGCGCTTAGCTACGATCTCACCTGATTCTAAGTGGTGATGTAGCCGAAGATGGTGAAGCGCACTGACTTAACAAAAGCCTTATTGACTCTTGCCTTGAAGATACCCACATATGTAATACAGATAAATAGACATCTACATTTATCCTCGATTACGAATCAATATTCAGATGCGTTGTCACCCGTGAAGACTAAGTTGGAATGCCTCTTTTCCAGTAAAAAGGGTTCCGGTTCTCAACCCATACAAAACGCAGCAGCATTAAGCTGCTATTTTACGCTGGTATTATGTGAGAGCATGGTCCACACCCGGTCGAGCCATGGCTCCACCACGTAAAAATCCTTGTTTTTTTTTTGAATCACCAACATTAAAAACCGCCAGCTTATGGGAGATCGCTTTTCAGTAATACTCTTCAGTAGTACTCTTCATAAAATTATTAACAAAGACGGACAAAATTATCTCTTAATATAAGTACATTGATTTATTACTCACCTATGAATCAAGGAATGCAATTATTACTATAAAAATATCTACAGTTGTTAATACAACTTAAATTCATTTTTCCTTGTGTTAAAACTGTTCATTTATCGAGGCCCCTTCAAAATATTGCACGCGTAAAGTTTAATCTATAATCTAAGAAACTAGGTTAAGGTGACCACCAAACTTAATGCAAAACTCGCAACAGAACCTTTTATTACAGATATTTCTTAGATTATATCTAAAGAGAGGCTAATTTTATAGCGAATATTATCGTTAAACCTAACTTAAAGCAGTCGCAGTGTCATTAAGAACAACAATTAATTTTCGCGTTCCACATTTTCAAATGATTATGGTTATTCTACAATTAAAACAATTTTGTTCAATATTGGACTCATTCAATGTATACCAGTGATGAGGATCGCGTGCTGCGTGTCACTAATTTAAATCTGTTGAACTTAATATTTTATCTGTAATAATAAATTGTTTTATTGCTTTTATTTCGGTCAGATTCATTACCCAATTTTTCACAGAATTCATCTTATTTAGTTCATTTCATTTTAACTATAACGTTACCATCCCACACTAGGATGTCTCGGGAGGGCAAGGCTATTTTAGAAGTATATATTGCACATGGATAAATATCCAGATTTGGAATAATTATTTATACATACATACATACATAAACACTCACGCCTGTCACCCAGAGGGGTAGGCAGAGACTACGGACTTCCATTTGGCGCGATCCTGACACACCTCTCTCGCCTCTTTTACATCCATATATCTACGCATACACGCTCGTCGGTTAAGGGTACTCCTAATCTGGCCCATTTTTAATGT